CCCCAAAACCCCAAAACCCCAAAACCCCAAAACCCCAAAACCCCTAGATATAAAATTTCGGCTGAAAAGAGTATTATTACATCCAGATTTATACTAAAAAAATAGTCATATATGCTATGAGCGATTAATTATCTAGCGCTCCTCAGCTTTCTTATTTAGTGACTAAATATGCATATCGTATTCTCTGATTAGTGGGTTTTAAAATTTCCTAAACTCCTTAACCTTATTTTTCTTATCTCTTTCAGTGAGCTCCAATTCAATCATGCAGATAAACTTTGAGAAGATCTTATTTATCATACAACAGTGTTATAAAGTCTATGATAAACTACTATTATACCTCTCTGTTGGCTCTTGAGTTTGCTGAAGACATATTTATGACACAAAGAATGGACATCTCCATAAGTATCCTCTCTGACACTATCTTCCGTCCTAAATTTATTTACTTAATATGATACTTCTGGTCTTTTGTTCTCTTATATTTCTTCTCGTGTTCCTGTGTTAGGTCTTTATAGTTTGATTTACTAACTCCTGTGTCATCTCCATTATGAATTTTTGTGCCCTCTATATTAATTATAGCTTCAACTAGATTCAATCTCAGACTATAAAGTCCCTCAAATAACAGTTCTGGACTCAGAGATCCAGTCAGTGGTTCCTGAGAGAAGGAAATTGACGCATTTTGAAGAATCTTTCTTACCTACAGGAGCCTGTACGATTTGGTACTGCTGCTTACTAAGCAAGAGCTTGGCTGTAGGCACAGAACATGCTTGGGTCACTCTGCAAACATTATTTTGGGGCAGAGATTTTTAGCAGTATCTCAGTGGGTACTTTTTGTAATATTTTCTTAACCTTTGTCCAATCTACTGAAGAGCTCCTAGAGCATTAGATTGTGAATACTTTTGAAAATTCTCTAGTTTCTTGGTAGAAGATGAATTGAGATCAGCCTTCATCTTCTGAAGAGTGGCAAGAGAAGAACGAGCTTTGGAAATTTCATGAGAAACTCAATCGAGGTCCTAGGGATAACTAAGAAGCTTACAAGAGGTTGAGGAAGCTTAGGATAAAATTCATTAGGCTTTTTAGCAATATTTCCTTGCTTTTTAGTATGCTTAGATTCAAAATTTATACGCTTGAGAGTGCTGGAGAATTTTCTATCATACTCTTCTTGATTAAACTCTCTAGAAGGCAAAGTAGCTTTGGGATAGAACAAAGATAACTTTTTGTCAATTCATTTCTCGGATGTTATTTTAGTTCCTTCAGTCTCCTGTTTCTTCTCTGATTCTTGTTCATCAATAAGGTTAATAATTGTTTGTGACTGAATATCTGGAGAAATCTTGAGATCAATAGTTTTATTACTTCTGGAGCCTTCTCATTCTGGTGAAGTATTCTTATGCATTGCTTTAGAAATTATTTGTGTGCTTGTGGTTGCTACATTTTAAAGACTTAACTCACTTGCTTCAAAGAAGCTTGGATCAATAGGAGAGTAGACTTTATCAATTACTTTACAAAGAAATTTTGCAAAAAGGTAAAGGCTGTGAATGTATTTGTAGACCTTTATTGTTTTCTCATCATTTATTGTGTATTTGACACCAGGTATACATTCAATATGACTTTGTATTTGTTGAAATTCCTTGTCTCCTAATGGACTTTTCTCCATAAGAATTTGCATTTTCATGATCATTGAGTAAACCTTAGACCTATAGATAAGCTCAAAGACTTACAGCTTACAACTTAGAGCAGCAACAATACATGTCCAGGTGTATGTTGCTACTTTCAAAGGCTTCCCATAAGTTTCTACTAAAATGAGTATAGTTTTCACAATCCCTTCTTCCGCTTTGCTTGGATTTCTTACAGCTAGAAGAGTTTTGAAGCTGCTTAAACTAAGACTCTTCTTAGCTGAGCATATATCATCTCATCTGATCTGATACTGGTTGCACATCTCTATATCTTGATGAATGTACTGTAAAATATGCCCCTGGTTTACTCCTTTTCTACTCTTATTAGGAGTTATTTTCTTCAAGTTTCTAAATTCTGGGTCAGGAAAATATCATCCCAAGATTGTTTTAGGTATCCGGAGATTCTGAGGTAGACTAAAGATGTTACCTTTCGAAGACAGTGTCAAGAGAGTAATTAATCTCCATTTTTGATTATTTAATTGTTATAACTGTCTTAAATATATACAAAGGAGATATTGATTAGTTAGTTGATAGGGGTTTTGGGGTTTTGGGGTTTTGGGG